AAAAAAAAAGGGGCAAAGATTAAGAATTGATGGAAGTTTAGAGTAGCAGCCAGAATGCATGGACACCTATTTGATGCTGAGCAAGAACATGATAATGGGCCAGGCATGGTGGCTTATGTCTATAATCCCAGCACTTTGGGGCTGAAGCAGGAGGATCGCTTGAGCCCAGGACTTTGAGACCAGCTTGGGGAACATAGCAAGACCTTGTCTCTACTAAAAATGAAAAAAAAATTAGCCGGGCATGGTGGCATATGCCTATAGTCCCAGATACTTGGGAGGGGGCTGAGGCAGGAGGATCACTTGAGCCCACATGATCAAGGCTGCAGTGAGCCGAGATTGTGTCACTGCACTCCAAGCCTGGGTGACAGAGTGAGACCTTGTCTCAAAAAAAAAAAAAAAAAAAAAAAAAAAAAAAAAAAAAAGAAAAAAAAGAAAAGAAAGAAAATGAGAATGACCTTGACTTTGAGTACAACCACTTTATTTGCTGCCATACATCTTCAGTCAATCAATAATAAATATTTAACACACAGGAGATAATAAATTTTGGTTGGATGAATGAGTGAATGAACCAATGAATGAATGAATGAATGCACAGCATTTATTAGGGGCCTACCATGTGTCCAGCACTGGTACGGACCACCACTTCTGCTCCTGGTTCGGCAGCAGAGAAAAATGAAAAAGTTGTGCTGAAGGGAAGTATTTCCCCACTAGAATAAAAGTTATGTAGGATGCTATTCCCCTATCCCCCAAGGCAACAAATATTAGCTGTGAAGTTAAAAGCAAAAATAAGTTAGGTGTGGCTTCTTCCAAGGTGACTATTGCTATGCCAAACAAGTTTCAGTTATAGAATAAAGTCAGGGTTTTGTGATAAGTTAGGAAATCAGATTAAATTTACTTTGTTTAGGAATAACCGTTTCACCCACTGTCCCAGAAAGGGCGCTTTACTTAACTTTTTATTGTTATCACTAGGGGCCATCCTGCTCCTTCCTCTTAAAATCTTGGGATTTTCTACCCTCTTTAACACACTTACATCATTTTCTCCTTCTAATCTCTCTTTCTCTCTCTGCAGAACATTACATATCATTTTGTTCTCACTCAGTCTTCTTGACAGATCAAAGTTTTCATCCTGTCAACAATAAAAAAAAAATAGGATTAGGATCACATATTGCAGTCTGAGTACAAGGTGGGAAATTTTAGAGGATCTGGCCTTCCAAAGCGGGGAGACTGAGATGGAGAAGGCAACTGGGAGGAAGAAATGGTACTATGGGCAGGGTGCTGAAATCAAGAAAAGTGACTTAAAAAAACGCCTGAAGGTCTGAGCTGGCATCAAGATGCCACTTTACTTTTATTTTTTATTTTTTATTTTTATTTTTTGGGATGGAGTTTCGCTCTTGTTACCCAGGCTGGAGTGCAATGGCGCGATGTCGGCTCACCGCAACCTCCGCCTTCTGGGTTCAGGCAATTCTCCTGCCTCAGCCTCCTGAGTAGCTGGGATTACAGGCACATGCCACCATGCCCAGCTAATTTTTTGTATTTTTAGCAGAGATGGGGTTTCACCGTGTTGACCAGGATGGTCTCGATCTCTTGACCTCGTGATCCACCCGTCTCGGCCTCCCAAAGTGCTGGGATTACAGGCTTGAGCCACCGCACCCGGCACTTTTTTTTTTTAATTTAGCTGAGGGTGTAAGTGACCAATGAGAGAAAAAGCAAGCTTGGGGAAAATCTCAAGACTGACTTATCAGAATTAGGGATAAATGAAGCCTTGCTTAATCCCACCCAACCATGAAAACAATCATCTTTGTTTTCAATAAACATCTCACTCAATGAAGCCTGAAGCACTTAGGTTTGAGTTGGTGTGATTCCTTCCTACAGTGTGAGGAATAGGCATCTGGGCTCAAGCTACATGAAGGAAGAGGGAACACAGGAAGGCATTTGTCCAAAAATATAAGCAGCCCAGACTGGGGTCTTGGGCATCCCCATGTGATGGGTTGACCTAACTGGTTTCATGCTTCAGTGCTTCTTCCCATCTTCTGCCTGCATACATACATACACATGCGCATACCTCACAAACACACTTAAGCTAAGCCTACTAGTTGTGGTTTTTGATGCCAGATTTTTTATTTGAATGCCGGTGCCCAAACTGCTGTGCGCGTCTAGCCGACCCTGAGGTAGTAATGCGAGAGGGGGCTACCCGGTGACAGTGCTGACTGCAGACTCCTTGCTTCCCATCCCCATTGGCTTCTGCTGGCTCTTCTGGTCCTGCTTCACTTCCTCAAAAGGCAGAAATAAGAAAGGGCTCTCTGAGTCTGCACAGAAACCTGCTTGATAGTTACAAAAACCTTCCCTAAGACCTGTAGCTAAGTTGGGGCCTATATTTCTAGGAACCTCCATGCTAGTTTCTGGCCACACACTACATCCCTGTTTTTAGTGGAAAGATAAATTTCTCTCCTTAACAAGGGTGTACAATCTTCTGGGCTTGGTCTAAGAACCACTGACCTTCACACCCCTTGCTTTCCTGGGCCCCTTCTCTCTGTCACCTACCAGTGCAGCCGCCCTGAGTTGCCTGATCTGTTTGTGAAGTCGTTGACACTCTTTGTACTTCTCTAAGAAACAGGCTTTCCCGGCCTCTACCTTTGCCTTTAGGCGTTCCACCTCTCGTGCTAACTGCTCCTCCACAGTTAGTGCTGCTTTCTTGCTCCTAGGCTCCTGAAGCATAAGATACACAGTCCTCAGAGTTAGCGACCTTTTAGGATGTATGAGGAATCGGGATTGCTATCAGTCAGGTGGGGAGCCCCTAGGTCTTGAAAAATATGCCATGAAAATCCAGAAAATTGGCTGGGTGGGGTGGCTCATGCCTGTAATCCCAGCACTTTGGGAGGCCAAGGCAGGTGAATCACCTGAGGTCAGGAGTTTAAGACCAGCCTGGCCAACACAGTGAAACCCCGTCTTTTCTAAAACTATAAAAACTAGCCAGGCTTGGTGGCAGGCTACTGTAATCCCAGCTACTCAGAAGGCTGAAGCAGGAGAATAGCTTGAACCCAGGAGGAGGAGACTGCAGTGAGCTGAGATCAGGTCAGGCACCCCAGCCAGGTTCAAACTTTTGAATGACTATAGATTCCTTCCTTGATTACCTCCTTGATTCCTTCCCTCCTTCCCCTCTTTCTTTCTTTCTTTTTTTGAGATGGAGTCTCGCTCTGTCACCCAGGCTGGAGTGCAATTGCCACCACACCTGCCCGGGACTACAGATTATTTAAAACAAGAATTTTGACCAGGTGCGGTGACTCACATCTGTAATCCCAGCACTTTGGGAGGCCAAGGTGGGTGGATTGCCTAAGCTCAGGAGTTTGAGACCAGCCTGCCCAACACGGTGAAACACCATCTCTACTAAAATACAAAAAAATATTAGCCGAGTGTGGTGGTGTGCTCCTGTAGTCCCAGCTACTTGGGAGGCTGGGGCAGGAGAATCACTTGAACCTGAGAGGCAGAGGTTGCAGTGAGTTGAGTTGGTGCAACTGCACTCCAGCCTGGGCGACAGAGCGAGACTCTGTCTCAAAAAAAAGAAAAAACAACTCAGTAATTTCTTTGCTATATCAGAGGTCACAAACTGGAATGTGCTTATAAAGACCAGGCAAGATATGTAATCAAATGAAGGAATTGAATCCAAAAAAACAGTGCAGACTGCAGCTAGATGGAGAACTCATGACCCATCTCCAGGGCACAGCAGCTACTTGGCTCTAGCTATTGCCACTGCACAGGAATGTGGGCTCAACGTTGCTAGGTCCTCTCATTTCCCAAAGGAAGCTGGAAATACAAATTTTTGTGGAAAATACTCCTATTTTTAAATGTTGGTAACTACTTTTTAAAACATTTCTGTTGTCTGACCTTGACCTGTGATCTGCTTTGTTCTAGTCTTCCTATATCATACTAAAGCATACAGTATCTTAGATACAGTAGATACTTAATGACTGAATGATGCTTATATGATGTGAATTGCAATCCCAATGGCTGGATATCTCTCAGGCATCAGGATTTCTCATGTTCTTGGATCAACTAAGTACATAGGACTTCCAGGCACCTGTCAGCACCATTAGGCCTCTTTTTCAACAAGATGTTATAGGAAATTATTAGTCAATTAGGCGTTCATTCCTACATAATTGATAATGATTATAATTGCTGATATATTAATTATAATAAGATTTGCTTTGAGGGATATATTTTGCTGTCATAGAGCCCTTTATAACTATTCATTTATAGTCTGCCTTCACTGTAACTCTGTAAGAAGAGGGCAGGGGTTATTCTGTGAGCCCTAGTCCGAGGATCTAGTTATATCTTGTCATGAAGTTTAACTGGCAATATTCCTTTATCACTTATCACACATTAGAAATGCCCATTTCTAAACATTTTGTAAATGGCAGATTCTCTGTTCTTTTGGCTAGAAAGCAAAACATCTACAGGTGAACACTCTCTTATTTATCCTGTCCATCACCTGAAAATAGGCCCATATCCCTTCCTTCATATAGGCTCCCTCCCACGTAACCATCCAAAGACAGACATGCCATTAATTCCTGTTGCTTCTTCATTGCAGTAGTTTCATTCTGCTTCATCGCCTCCACTGTCTGCTCGAGCTTCTTCTGGTCCTTCCTCTGCAAAAACAGATTTCAGTACCATTGCTGGGAAGACACACAGGCACATATACACCATGGAAGGGCCTGCTAAACTAATGAGCAAGCAGGATGCAGAGAGAGAGGCAAGTCTTCTCTTGTCAGTTTCTGAAGAAAGCCATGAGCTATCTCATTTTAGACTTTTCTCTGAGACCTTTCCTAGAGCCAGTGATACCCAGGTATATGATAAAAAAGAGCAACATATATTTTCTTGCAAATGCCTAAAAGTGTTGTTTTCTTCCGTGACTCTACCTGTTCAGTTAAACTGAGAAAGAGGTGGTCATTTTCTTTTTTCAGATGCTCTAACTGCTCTGTCTTATCTTGATCTCCCTGAACAAGCTTCTCCATTTCTTTCTCTTGAGTTGACAGCTGGGCCTAAAGTAAAAATAGTGAGCATAACCAAGACATAAAAGAAGGAAAACAAAACAGAAACAATGCTTTTTAATGTACAATAACAAAGAAATGCATTTCCCTAGCAACTCCCAACTGCCAAATATCCTGTAGAACTCCTTTACTTTTCAGCTCAACTTTATAGCCTAAGAATCTAAGGGTCAACTGAGTAAAATTAGACAAACCACTCTGTAAAGCACCTCTTTAAGGCATAGCTTCCTGAAAATGAGAGCAGTTCTGCTATCTGCTTCATATTCCAGGCTTTTGAGTACGATTTTGTTTGAAAAGATTAAAGTTTGAGTATTGGTATAGATGACTGTCACCTATATTAAGAGTTCATGGTAAATTAGCTTAGTAATACATGAACAAATCACTAAGTTCCTTGTGAATCATGATTTTTTTTTTTTTTTTTTTGAGATGGAGTCTTGCTCTGTCGTCCAGGCTGGAGGGTAGTGGTGCGATCTCTGCTCACTGCAACCTCCGCCTCTGGAGTTCAAATGATTCTTCTGCCTCAGCCTCCCCAGTAGCTGGGATTACAGGCGCACCCACCATGCCCAACTAATTTTTGTATTTTTAGTGGAGACGGGGTTTCACCATATTGGCCAGGCTGATCTTGAACTCCTGACCTCAGTGATCCACCTGCCTCAGCTTCCCAAAGTGCTGGGATTACAGACGTGAGCCACTATGCCCAGCTGTGAATCATGATTTTTTTTTTTCTTAAAGTGGGGGTGTGGATAAGGTGGACGCTTACTTCGTCCAAGAGTGGAAAATACATAACCTGAAACTTTAGTGTGATACTTTGTAAAGTATGCCATTAGTCACTCACTGCAATGAAATACATTTTTCTAGGCCACCAAATTGGAGTGGTGGCAAAGCTAAGAAAATATCCTTTGACAAAGGTATGACATTACCTACCTGAAGCTGATCCACTCTGATTCCCATCTTCTTGTTTTCTGAGGTCATCTTCTGGTTTTGTTCTTTCAGTCTGTGGAGGTGGAAATAACTATGTGAAAAATTCACTGATTCCAGGTCAGCTACCCCTGGCCTTAAATGATTTAAGGCTGGCTTGGCCCTAAGCCCTGCAGAGTTATTTAAAAATCTACTAGTCTCCACTGCGGTCCTGTTTTGGCTTCCTGACTCCAAAAAACTGCAAGTATTCAATCCCTAAAGGCAATATTTGAAATCAGATCATTTCTCCTGACTATTTTGATACTGACTTTCTATTTCATGATTCAAAGGGGCAGAGAATCACACCTATCAATGTCATAACTGTTTTCTCACAAATTCCAGAAGTCCAATCTGATTGTCCTTTTTTTATTTTTTTTTAAGAGACGGAGTCTTCGCTCTGTCAACCAGGCTGGAATGCAGTGGCGATTGGCTCACTGCAACCTCTGCCTCCCGGGTTCAAGCAATTCTTCTGCCTCAGCCTCCTGAATAGCTGGAACTACAGGTGCGCACCACCGCCCCTGGCTAATTTTTGTATTTTTAGTAGAGACGGGGTTTCACCATATTGGCCAGGCTGGTCTTGAACTCCTGACCTCATGATCCTCCTGCCTCGGCCTCCCAAAGTGCTGGGATCACAGGCGTGAGTCACTGTGCCCAGCTAATCTTAAGGTATTGATGGTACAGCAGCTCTTCCCCTACCAGAATTATGGGACACACTCACTTAAGGGTATTGATGGTACAGCAGCTCTTCCCCTCCCAGAATTATGGGACACACTCACTGAAGCAGCTCTGTCTCCCAATAGTCCTCCTGCTCTTTCACTTTCAGTTCCAACTTCTTATTGATGCACCGTAGGGTTTCTAGCTCCTCCTACAGATTGCAACATCAACAAAGAGACAGACTATTTCTATGACACTTTTGCATGAATATCTTAGGCAGGCAACAAATATTTATTGAGCACTTACTATATGTCAGGCAGAGCATGACACAGCAGTGAATGATATATTTAAATAAAAGGATTTCCACATTAAAATGTTCTTTCTTTTTTTTTTTGGGATGAAGTCTCACTCTATCGCCTGGCTCACTCCAACCTCTGCCACACGAGTTCAAGCAATTCTTCTGCCTCATCCTCCTGGGTAGATGGGATTACAGGTACCACTCAGCTAATTTTTGTATTTTTAGTAGAGACGGAGTTTCACCATCTTGGCCAGGCTGGTCTTGAACTCCTGACCTCGTGATCCACCCACCTCAGACTCCCAAAGTTCTGGGATTACTGGCATGAGCCACCACGCCCGGCCACAAAGTGTTCTTTTTATATTAAATATATATCACCTTAATTTCTCTTTTCACTGGAGCTTATAATTTGTTCATTAAACAAATATTTACTCAGAGCCTATTCCATACTGGACACTGTTCTTGCACTGCAGACACAGCAGTGGACAAAATAGACAAAATTGCCCTTTTCATAGAACAGTGCTGTTCAATAAGTGAGAGCCACATATAATTTTAAAATCTTAGTAGGCGCATTTTTAAAAAGGTAAAAAGAAACATTAATTTTATTAATAGTGTGCGTGCATGCATGTGCGTGTGTGTGTGTGTGTGTGTGTATGTATATATATATATTTTTTGAGATATGCAAAGTCTTGCTCTGTTGCCCAGGCTGGAGTGCAGTGGCATAATTTTTACTCACTGCAACCTCTGCCTCCCAGGTTTAAGCGATTCTCTTGCCTCTGCCTCCTGAGTAGCTGGGATTACAGGTGCACACCACGAAACCTGGCTAAATTTCATATTTTTAGTAGAGATGGGATTTTGTCATGTTGGTCAGGCTGGTCTCAAACTCCTGACCTCAGGTGATCCACCCACCTTGGCCTCCCATACAGGTGTGAACCACCATACCTGGCCAAATGATAGTATATGTAATCCAATATAGCTAAAATATCATTTCGACATATAAACAATTAAAAAGAGATATTCAGCTGGGCATAGTGGCTCATGCCTGTAATCCCAGCACTTTGGGAGGCCGAGGTGGGTGGATCACTTGAGGCCAGGAGTTCAATACTGGCCTGGCCAACATGGTGAAACTCTGTCTCTACAAAAATACAAAAATTAGGCTAGTGTGGTGACAATCACCTGTAATCCCAGCTACTCGGGAGGCTGAGGCAGGAGAATCACTTGAACCTGGGAGGCAGGGGTTGCAGTGAGCTGAGATTGCACCCTTGCACTCCAGTCTCTGTGACAGAGTTAGACTCCGTCCCAAACAAACAAACAAAACTGATGCCTGTTCAAAGATATTGGTATGAGAGGGAGAGATCACAGGCAAAACAGAATATAGTGCTAGATAAGAGGCATATCTAATTCTGATCTCCATGCTCCAAGGTCACCTGTAACCAGCTGCCATACCTGCTTCTTTTGGAGCTCAGCTTGCATGTCTGAATTCTGTTTCTGGAGACTAACACAGCTGTCCTTCAGCTCCTGGTTTTCTTTGCAAAGCTCCTTGTTGTGCTGTTCAATCTCTTCCACCTCTCCCTACAAAAGAACATTCCATAAACTATATTCCAAGTCTCTCTAGCAGAAAATTCCCATAGGTTAGGATGGTGAGGGAGGGTCTGGCTGATTCCCATTCACTGTAGTGATATCTGTGTCCCCCCAAATGGGGGCTGCTCCTTAATACATAGGTAAGGGTATAACAGAAGTGTCTTTATAATTGCAGCATTACCAAGAAAGATAAGCAAAAATTAAAGCCATTAAAAGTTAAAAGAGACAGTGGTACAGGAATGTAGCTTCTTTTTGCAGACACTTAGTAGTATCATTTGTCTCCCCCAAGGGACTTAGCTCCTTGAGGCCAGGGACAGTGTTTTAACTGATTATTCCCAGTGTTCCCAGTGCCTACCATAGTGCTGGATGAAGAGCAGGTGTCCTGTTAAATGATGAAGAAAATGAATCTAGGCCGGGCGTGGTGGCTCACGCCTGTAATCTCAGCACTTTGGGAGACTGAGGCAGGCGGATCACCTGAGGTCAGGAGTTCAAGACCAGCCTGGCCAACATGGTGAAACCCTGTCTTTAAAAAAAAAAAGAAAAGAAAATGAATCTAATACTCATGTATGACAGATAGGCTCTGTGCCAGAACTGAAAGAGATGAGAATATCTGGTGTTTCTCTCCTCAACGGAGCTTATACATTAACTGTGGTGATAGGATGTATAGATGACAAAAATTAAGCAACTGGAAAAGTTAAAAGAATAACTGAATGCTAGCTGAGTTCAAGAAGTTTTAGAGAAGGAAGAAATCACTTATTGTTATTATTCTTGTTAACATTCCTGAGTGAGTCTGTGTGAGTACTATATAAATTTTTTCCAACAATATCCATGAGATATTCAATAAAGTCTTATTGACTCATATTCCATCCTATCTTATATTGCTACTTGTAATGGCAGTGAGGAATTGAGGTGAGAAGTTTACAGACCTGAGTGGTAACAACCAGGATGTCTTCCTCATTTTCTGGACGGAATTGGAAAGGAATACTTGCTCCCCGGACCACACCATCCTGATCCACATAGCAGAACTGGTAATACTCATCATCCTTGGGCAGGTAGTAAGCTGAAAACACAACATAATTTTAAATCCAAAATCAGATGTATTCAGAAAAGTAACATTCTGGAAGTCTTTTTATATGCCCCAGAAAGCTCAAGCTGAAGGGAATTAATTAGTCTTGGCTACTGTCTTCAACACCTTTGATCCAGCATTCTTCTCACCTTTGAATTGGACTTCCTGCTGTTTGGCTGATTCGTTGTTTAGGTCAATGGGCAAATTAACCCACATGAAGGTGTAATACTCACGGGTTGTCTTCCATCCCACCTGCAATGACAAGAAGTTCTTATTTAGTACCTGAAAGGAGTCTGGGGAAAATCCTGATTGGGCTTCATCTTCTTAAAACCACTTTTTATTTGTATATATGAAAATATAATAGAATGAGTTCATTATGACAAGATTCTCACACCAGGGCTCAAATTTGTTTTTAATTTTTTTTGAGACGGAGTTTCGCTCGTTACCCAGGCTGGACTGCAATGGAGCGAACCCAACCTCCGCCTCCTGGGTTCACGCAATTCTCCTGCCTCAGCCTCCTGAGTAGCTGGGATTACAGGCACGCGCCACCACGCCCAGCTAATTTTTTGTATTTTTAGTAGAGACGGGGTTTCACCGTGTTGACCAGGATGGTCTTGATCTCTTGACCTCGTGATCCACCTGCCTCGTTCTCCCAAAGTGCTGGGATTACAGGTGTGAGCCACCGCACCTGGCTTGTTTTTAATTTTTAATTTCATTTTTTATTTATGACAACTACGTATGGGAAAATGTCTGATACAACCAAAATTTGGGGTGTACATACACAGCTCAAAAAACAAGTCTTGGAAGGATTTGAAAACTAGTTCCTCATCACCCAGAAGAGCTCCAAAAATTCCGTCTATAAGTCAGAGAGAGCTGAGATTGATTTGAGGGGAAAGTTCTGGGATTATAAACCCTGATCCTCTTACAATGGCGTTCTTTGGACTTCTAAATCAGAACGCACTCCTGAGCTGCCCTCTCCATTGGTTTGTCTTCTAATGTGTCTAATTAAGCCTTGTCATATACCAACCTGAATATGCCACTGCATTAAAAAAAAACTGCATTCTCTTTTATAAGGTCTGTGTTGGGTGCAGAGGGAGAACAGGGTTCTTAGATTTTGAGGCACCAGATAAGAGATTCCAGGTCTATATAATTTTCTTTCTTTACTGTTTCTTATAATGCATGCTTAATGACGGCTTTTTGGTAATAAAAATATTAACAACAATCTGGTAGTCGTAAAGCCTCTTCTAGGTATTGAATACAATAAATCATAAGACATAAGGATGCAGCAAAACATGCCTCAGAGCAGAAAGCTGGCTAAGTGGAAAATATTCTCACAAATATGAAGGGGGTAAAAGATTGCTTGAATCTTATCTGGAAGATAAAAGCACACCAGAGAATAGAAAGGAAGCTATTGTGTCTTCAAGGGGACAACACTCAGCAAATGAGAAGGAAAATTACATTTATTGCCATATTTTGACCCTGCCTGAGCTCAGTAAGAGGAGAACTAAAAATAAATCCCATTTTTATATATTAAGGAATCAAAGCAGGGTTGAAAAGGCTATACCAAAAACTCATCAGAACATCCTAGGGCATGTTTTAGAGTCTCATTAATACACACCCCATTGCTGTAAGCATCTTAGAGCCACTGGAGCCTGTGGTGGTACAGGAAGCAGGAATTTTATGGAGTCCTCATTCACATCCTGGAGTTTTTTTAATGCACTGTGACCAAAATATCATTGGGAAGGCCTAAGAATTATTGCTGCCTTGGAACATGAAAACAAATTCTAGCCACCTGCAATTTCTGTCGTTGGCTCCTCCATTTGAGTAGTCCTTGTTCCAGTCTGTCTTGGATACATTTAAATGCCCAAGTCAAAGAGAGTATAAAGCATAGGATTATACGCTGAGGGAAAGAAAGCAGACTTCTTCCTGCTTTAGGCTCCATCACTGGTGGTAGCTTTCACTATAGAGAAGATGTAATGTAGTTGTATGTGTTAAAAACATTTACTGGCCGGGCGCAGTAGTGCATGCCTGTAATCCCAGCTACTCAGTGGTTGAGGCACAAAAATCACTGGAACCTGGAAGTAGAGGCTACAGTGATTCCAGATTGCGCCTCTGCACTCCAGCCTGGGGGATAGAGCAAGACTCTATCTTGAAATAAAATAAATTTTAAAAATAAATAAAAAATAAAAGCATTTACTGAGTGCCTCCCTGGTGCCAGATACTACCAGTGTCTGGGGTGATGAGGAGTTGAATAGTCCGATTAAGGCTACACTGAAGGAACACTGAAGACAGCATTAGAGGAAAGATGTGAAGAATGAAAATTTACAGTTAACTCTTCATTCTCTAATTTACTATCTGTTGCTCAAAGGAATTCAGCAGAGTAGAGGAGAAAAAGCAGAGGTTTAGGAGCCAAACTAGCTTCATGGTTTATTCACTGTGAGGCCTTGGGAAAGTCACCATCTCTCTAGGATATTCATTTTACTTACTTATGCCCAAGAGATACTACTACCCATCTCAGGGGGCTACTGCACTGTGAGGATTTAATTAGAGAATACACACACACACACACCCCCTCCCCTCAACAAAGGCCTAGCACAGTGTGTCCTCAGGGTAGGTATTCAATTCAATAGCTTTATGGACAATGAACATTAGAAGCCCTTCTTCGGATTAACCATTATTTCTTTATTGAGGTACAGTAATACCTCTGAAATATATGAAGCATTCCAAATATAAATGCATCCTTTTTAAAAAAAATTTTTTTTTTGAGATGGAGTCTTATTCTGCTGCCCAGGCTGGAGTGCAGTGGCATAATCTTGGCTCACTGCAACCTCTGCCTCTTGGGTTCAAGCAATTCTCCTGCCTCATCCTCCTGAGTAGCTGGGACTACAGGTAGATGCCACCATACCTGGCTAATTTTTATATTTTTAGCAGAGATGGGGTTTCACCACGTTGGCCAGGCTGTTCTTGAACTCTTGACCTTGTGGTATGCCCTCCCCAGCCTCCCAAAGTGCTGAGATTACACGGGTGAGCCACCGCACCTGGCCAAAAAGCCCAAGATTTTTATATGGTATATGCTGAAGTCTTCACTGGCAGTTGCTAAGTGCTTAGGGGAATACAACTAGTCAAAGCAAAACAGAAATATAACAATGTTGCAAAAAGAAAAAAACCACGTTATAAACTACATAAATGTAGTTTATAAATTTAGGATGATGGAGCCTAAAGCAGGAAGGAGTCGCTTTCTTTCCCTCAGTGTATAATCCTATGTTTCATACTCTCCTTGACTTGGGCATTTAAATGTTTCCAAGACAAACTGGTGAAAAATTCTAGTAAGTAATTTTTGAATCATTCTCTTTTTCATGATTTGTACCTGCATTAACCAATGTTAGCCACTAGCCACATGACACTATTTAAACTATAATTAATTAACATTAAGTAAAATTTAAAATTCAGTTACTCGGGCCAGGCGCGGTGGCTCACGCCTGTAATCCCAGCACTTTTGGAGGCTGAGGCAGGCAGGTCACCTGAGGTCAGGAGGTCGAGACTAGCCCAACCAACATGGAGAAGCCTTGTCTCTACTAAAAATACAAAATTAGCCAGGCGTGATGGTGCATTCCTGTAATCCCAGCTACTCTGGAGGCTGAGGCAGGAGAATTGCTTGAACCCAGGAGGTAGAGGTTGCAGTGAGCTGAGATTGTGCCCATTGCACTCCAGCCTGGGCAACAAGAGTGAAACTCTGTCTCAAAAATAAATAAAATAAAATCCAGTTACTCAGTCACACTAACCACATTTCAAGTGCTTAACAGTCACACATGGCTAGTAGTTACTATACTGGACAGTGAAGCTACAGCTCCATTGCAGAAAACTCTAACCAGGCAATGTGACCTATGTGCTTTGCTACATATGGGGAAGAAGAAAAACAACTCCCATCTTCTTTATAAGGCAGAAAACACTCTGGTGTGTTGGCACACCTTTTAGTGTCATGATTCGATACCCTGCAGTCTCAACAGCTGTCATGATACTTGCCAGTGTCCTGCTGGTTGGCCACTATACCTATCTCCAAACACCACTCATGTTACCTCCAGCTCCCATTGCTCCATCAATAAACTTGATGTTCCAAACAATTATGAAAAAGGAATTCAATGAAGGATATAAATAAGCAACTCCTTCATAGTGTAGTTGAGAACAGTGTCTGATTTCAGATTGAACAGCACTGGCAAACAGGCACATGACAGACTGAGGTGTCAAACCAAAGGTCACTGACATTGGGAATTGGCAGTGTAAATTACTTAAATTTGACCTTTATTTCTTGTCTCTGGACACAGGAAGATTTGTCATTATGGTATGTGTGATACGGATGGGAGGGCAAAGGGAACACAGAGAGTAAGTTAATTAAAATTTAAAAATACCATTCTGTACTTGAACTGATGGGGTGACCAGACACTGGAAGAGGTCATGAAGGGAGCTCATAAAATTTCAGTCCTTGGAAATCATCATAAATAGACACACTTATTGAGGAATAAACTTTTTGGATGCAGGGTGTCAATATCCTCAATATCCTTTCCAAATTTGTGGTATTTGTATCAAAACAAACTAAACACCATACCAAATAAGGAAGTAATGTTTAGTCTCAGAAATGACGTATGAGGTCAACCATCTCAGTCAAGTCATACATACATATTTCAAAATAGGATCATTTAAAAGGCATTTAATGGCTAGGTGTGGTGGCTCACACCTGTAATCCCAGCACTTTGGGATGCCAAGGCGGGTGAATCACTTGAGGTCGGGAGTTCGGGACCAGCCTGACCAACATGGAGAAACCCTGTCTCTACTAAAAATACAAAAATTAGTTGGTGGTGCATTCCTGTAATCCCAGCTACTCAGGAGGCTGAGGCAGGAGAATTGCTTGAACCTGGGAGGCGGAGGTTTCGGTAAGCCAAGATCATGCCATTGCACTCCAGCCTGGGCAATAAGAACAAAACTCCATCTCTAAATAAATAAATAGCATTTAATTTGGGAGGCCGAGGTGGGCAGATCACAAGGTCAGGAGTTCGAGATCAATCTAGCCAACATGGTGAAATCTGTTCTCTACTAAAAATACAAAAATTAGCCAGGTATAGTAGATGTGCCTATTATCCCAGCTACTTGGGAGGCTGAGGCAGGAGAATCACCTGAACCTGGGAAGTGAGTGTTGCAGTGAGCCAAGATTGCCCTACTGTATTCCAGCCTGGGCAATAAAGTAAGACTCTGTCTCAAAAACAAAACAAAACAAAAAATCAGTTAGGCATTGTTCTGCACACCTGTAGTCCCAGCTACTCAGAAGGCTGAGGCGAGAGTATCACTGAGCCTGGGAGGTTGACGCTGCAGTGATCTGCACTCCAGCCTGAGAAACAGAGCAAGACTCTATCTCAACAACAACAAAAAAGTGTTTATATTTGGTCTTTGAAAGCATAATAAAATTTGAGGATTATATGATTTGCCATCTTATTTTAGCTTGATACTGAAATGAAAATTTGAGCCCTAGAGCACACGTTAGTGTGTGAAGAGAGAAGTGCTGTGGAGCTTGGCTAGGATTTAAAAATTGCCCATACATATTATACAAAATGCTTATAATACACAGAGATTCACACACTCAGGTAAGTAAGATTCACCTCTAGTTCCTGATCACTTGGTACTAAGTTAACCACTTACTCTAAAGATGCCAATCCAATCCTTTCGACGAGGGATGAAATGCTGGGTGAAGGTGTAATGACATGTGACATCCCCTCCAGGGATGTAGAACTTCTCCACACTGTTAAAGATGACCTGAGAGAAATGACAGTGATCCAGCAAGACAGCTGATGTGGGGGGATCTTCAACGGTCTTCTCCATGGTAGGGGTCCTGTTATGAAATATGGAATACAGTAAGGCTGAGAAAGCGTTGTCTGAAATGTTGGCGATTTCTGGGCTTTCATCCAGGGAACATTCTGTGCAAAGCAAGTCAGGAAAAGCAAAATCCTGACAAATACTGAGATTACACAACTTGCTTTCTGTTTCACTTTGAGCCATCTCAGTCACAACTTCCTATGCTACAAGAATTTTCTGACAATATCTTTAACTTCTTTACCACAGGCACCAGAACCCTCACATGAACAGAGCTCATAGCTACTCTGGTTCCTCTTTCTCTAAACGCCTTAAATAAGCAAGGTGGCCTAGATAAAATAGCCTGAGCTGGGGACTGTTCAACTTAAATTCTAGATTTTTCATCCCAACAAGCCCTATAACTTTAGGAAAGTCCATCTCTCTGGATTTCGTCTTCTACATTCAATTCCATTTATCCTGTAATTATCAGGACCTTCCATGTATTAGACACTCTGCTAGGACCTGGCAATGGGAGTGAAAAGAAAGGAATGAGAGAAAATTCTTTGACATGCAGTGGTGACAAGCACGGGTTCTAAATCAGACTGGTGGAGTTCAAATTCCAGCTTTGCCACCTATTAAATTTGTGGCATTGGGCAATTTATTTAATCCACTAGGCTCTGTGCTTGTTTCCTCATCTGTAAAATGGGGGTAAAAATAACATCTACCGCATTTAGTTTTTTTGTGAGGCGTAAGTGAAATAATGTAAAATGTATAGCCCTTAAATCAATGTATGCCATTGTAGGCACTTTACACAAAGTAGATGCATGTTGAATGACAAAGTACTTAGCATAGAGTCTGCATAAAGGGTTTAAGAGACGTTAGTTATATAGTTATTACTGTGGTAGTTGCGGGGTTTTTTTTTTCCTGGTACAATCCTTTTATAAAAGGAATCCCAGTCCAATAGAGGGAATTCATGAGTATACAAATCACTGCCAAATGAATCAAATAAGAAGGGCAAAATGCTCTGGGGATCAAAAGAGGGAGAGATGCAACTGGTTAGGAAAATAAAGAAAACTTCAGGGAATGAAAAGAATCTTCTATTAGCCCTCAAAGAGGATTAGGATTTTGACAAGTGAGTTTCTGAGAGAGGGCATTTCAGGTGAAGGAAACTGCATGAGTAACAAGAAAGAAACAGAAAAATGCAACCCACATTTGGAAGACAGCAAGCAAGTTTGGATCCCTAGCTATTAATGGGGATAATACTCTGTATTTCACTTTCTAGGTTATAATACAGATAAAATGTGATCAAGAATAGGAAAGTTGTGGCTGGGCCAGTGGCTCACACCTGTAATTCCAGCACTTTGGGAGGCTGAGGCTGGTGGATCACGAGGTCGGGAGTTCAAGACCAACCTGGCCAACATGGTGAAACCCCATCTCTACTAAAGAAAAAAAACATAATTGGGCGTGATGGCAGTTGCCTGTAATCCCAGCTACTCAAGAGGCAGAAGAATCACTTGAACCCAGGAGGCAGAGGTTGCAGTCAGCCAAGATCATGTGCCATTGCACTTAGCCTGAGCAACAGAGCAAGACTCCGTCTGAAAAAAAAAAAAAGGAAAAAAGAATAGAAAACCATTTTGGAGGCAAAAACAGTACATAAAAGAAACAAAGTGTTGGCCAGGTGTGGGCCTCATGCCTGTAATCCAAGCACTTTGGAGGCCAACGCGGACGAGTTCAAGACCAGCCTGACCAACATGGTGAAACCCCGTCTTAAAAAAAAAAAAAAAAAAAAATTTTTTAAATAAAACAAAAAACAAAAAACAAAAACCAGAAACAAAGTGTTTTGAATTGTTGACACCTAATACCTCCTGCCCCTTAAACAAGTCCCATGCACTGTTTTCTAAATAACTATCTGGTCTAATATTTAGTGAGTCCATAATTCTCAACTTAAGGTTTTACCAGGACATGAAAAAAATTTCAGCTGTAGGCCGGGCGCGGTGGCTCACGCCTGTAATCCCAGTACTTTGGGAGGCCGAGGCGGGTGGATCACGAGGTCAAGAGATCGAGACCATCCTGGTCAAATGGTGAAACCCCGTCTCTACTAAAAATACAAAAAATCAGCTGGGCATGGTGGCACATGCCTGTAATCCCAGCTACTCAGGAGGCTGAGGCAGGAGAATTGCCTGAACCCAGGAGGCGGAGGTTGCGGTGAGCCGAGATCGCGCCATTGCACTCCAGCCTGGGTAACAAGAGTGAAACTCCATCTCAAAAAAAAAAAAAAAAAATTTCAGCTGTACACAGCAGATGAAGAAAGAGCTATATACATGCAAATACTACATGATACTTTACAAATTCATCTATTGGTATATGCTGGAAGATTGTGTGCACATACAGACACACATATAATTTCTAAAAATACGTAAGTACAATAACCAAAAAACAAGACTGCCCTCAAACAACCATAATACTTCTTCCAGCCCCATCCTGCCTATTTAGTGATTTTACTTTGAAGTCTAAGCAACCAGGCCTGCTCTTCAACTCCCCAGTGGTCAGTTTTTTTCAAAAAGAAGGCAATGGGACTTTGAAGCACTAAACTGTCTATTATTGAAATTGAGCTAAGGAACTAAAAAAATGCATTGACTTTTTGGTTTGTGACATAGTTTAGCCACATCCTCAACCTCAAACCTCAAAAGGTGTTTCTTTTTTTTTTTTGAGACGGAGTCTCGCTCTGTCACCCAGGCTGGAGTGCAGTGGTGCAATCTCAGCTCACTGCAACCTCCGCCTCCAGTGTTCAGGTGATTCTCCTGCCTCAGCCTTCCAAGTAGCTGGGACTACAGATGCACGCCACCATACCCGGCTAATTTTTTGTATTTTTAGTAGAGATGGGTTTTCACCATGTTGGACAGGCTGGTCTTAAACTCCTGACCTCTGGTCATCCACCTGCCTCAGCCTCCTAAAATGCTGGGATTACAGGCGTGAGCCACTGTGACCAGCTCAAAAGAGGTTTTCAAAGGTCGGTGAGAGGTCACATTCCAATCTAGGTCAAGACTTTTCTCTAGGACAAACTGTTACCTATATAATGAGGGCTTCTCTTGGATGCTATGGGAGAGTGGGCAGGGAGGTTTCTCTGCTTGCAGATCCTTTATTTCCAAGTGGTCTCCAGTCATATGGAGGCCAGCATATCCCTTCCGTCCTAACCTGGAGCACCAATTTATCTGTGCATGTAAAATCACTTAACTTGTCCTTTCCAGGATCATGAACACTTAGATAAGAGTGAAATTGGCTGGGTGTGGTGGCTCATGCCTGTAATTCCAGCACTTTGGGAGGCCAAGGCAGGGCAGGTCACCTAAGGTTAGGAATTTGAGACCAGCCTGGCTACTATGGTGAAACCCTGCTTCTACTAAAAACACAAAAAACTAGCCAGGCTTGGTGGCATGTGCCTGTAATCCCAGCTAGCCGGGAGGCTGAGGCAGGAGAATCGCTTGAACCCAGGAGACGCAGGTTTCAATAAGCCAAGATCGTGCCACTGCACTCCAGCTTAGGCAAAAACAGCAAAACTCCGTCTCGAAAAANACCCCTCAGTTAACCTAAGTACCTTACTCTCATTTCTTTTCCTTTACAACACTGTCACCATGGTATATATAACACACTGCCTAAGGTGTAATAATCACTGATTAAGTATTTGTTGGATAAACGAACTAACAAGCACATCATTCATCAAAAAGTAAAAAAGTAGGTAAACAATGGTAAGGGTGACTCTGGGGCTAAAAGACTGTGTGTTTTATTTTTATTTTATTTTTTTTTGAGATGGTGTCTTGCCCTGTCACTTAGGCTGGAGTGCAGTGGCACAATCTCAGCTCACTGCAACCTCCCCCATCCAAGTTCAAGTGATTCTCCTGCCTCAGCCTCTCCAGTAGCTGGGACTACAGGTGCATGCCACCATGCCCAGCTAATTTTTGTATTTTTAGTAGAGACGGAGTTTCACCATGTTGGCCAGGATGGTCTTGATCTCTTGACCTCGTGATCGTCCTGCCTTGGCCTCCCAAAGTGCTGGGATTACAGGCTTGAGCCACGGCGACCGACCTATTTTTTTAAGTCCTCTTAATTTGTTGGTTATCCTTGGAGAAGCTGCTGTTTCTCAGCTTTCTATTTTCTAAAATAGGGTGAGTAGATGATAATCTCCGAGTGCTAAGTCACTTCTTGGTATGGCTGGTTCAGCTGGCATGGCTGGTTCAAGTGCCACAGTGCCAAAAAAACAAAAGGCACAGATTTGATTTCCTTAAGAACCCATCAAATTCACACTCCATTACCCAGCTTCCGCACACTCAAACTCTGGCAAGCTGTTGTGAAAATGGATGCTACTCTGAAAGGCAAGACCAGCCAAGGGGATGGGTGGCTCGGAACAGCCTTTCTTTCATTACTAGAAAAACAACCAATCTGGCAGGGCACGGTGGCTCATGCCTGTAATCTCAACACTTTGGGAGGCCGAGGAGGGTGGATCACCTGAGGTCAGGAGTTCAAGAACAGCCTGACCAACATGGTGAAAACCTGTCTCTACTAAAAATGCAAAAATTAGCCCGTTGTGGTGGCAGATGCCTGTAATCCCAGCTACTCGGGAGGCTGAGGAAGGAGAATCACTTGAACCTGGGAGGTGGAGGTTGCAGTGAGTGGAGATCACACCATTGTACTTCAGCCTGGGCAACAAGAGCAAAAACTCC